GTACTTCAAATCAACCAATAAAGTGTAAAATTGGAGAAATTAGCTTGTATTTCTGAATCAGTTGAATAGCATTTTTTATTTTACCATTTATAAGCTTTCACTTCGTACAAACCGTCTGAGCTCGCTTGACGGTAGGCAGGTACTTTTTTCATTTAACCAGTGGCTGCTATTTGGTCGGGATGTATGTAATGTGCCTCTAACAAGGCTAACTGATATATTAAGTTTTTCCCAAATCCTGTAGGAATAAGGGCAATAACATCTTTACCCTTGATAAAATTCACCAAACATTTTCTTTATTCTGGCTTTAAATCTTCAATTTCGGGAATTGTTGACAATACAGAATGTTTGGCTCTTCGCTGATTGGCTGGTGCCCAAACTTGCACTTCCGGGATTTTTGCAAACTGTCTATTGTATTTGATTCCTGACCTAGTTGCTGGACAGAAATGAAATTGAGCGGAGGCACTAGGTGGCGCCAGCCTGGCTAAAGGGTCTCAACATGGGTCTAAACCTGGACTAGACCAAGACCAAACTAGGACTAGAAAAGGGCTTGTAAGTCGTTACGTCATAATTCTATTTTCAGGTCCAAGCAGCAGTCATGCCGAATTTGGCCTGACTGATATACAAGTAAAAATGTCTCAGTGGTCAGACTTCCATCAGGTTTCCATGCCCTAACTGGAACCTCAATAAAAAAGGAGGTGTTGGTGAAAATGTTCACTGGTTCTGTCATTTTGAACAAATGTTTCGTTGGACCTGGAAGTCGTGTGTGACGTCAGACTTACAAGCCGAATAGGATGATACCAAGGTTCTAATGTGTACAGATGGATAGAGGCTCAAATCAAACCAGTTCAAATCAAACAATAAAGTATACTGGATGGAAAAATTGTTTGTATTTCTGAACCATTTGTGTGCCAATTTAATTTAACCAATTTAATCTGATTTTGATTTATGTAGGCTGTAACTGAAATCAAACCAGGTTAAGTTTTAATGTATAAAATGACAAGGAAAACACCACAGAATCTGCACATTTTCTCTTGATCATGTTTCAAAATCCAGCAATATGCCATAAAATAGTTATGACTATTTTTGAAACACATTATATACTTATACTACTACATTTTGTTTGTATTAAATGTATTGCATCTTATCTGCATTAAACCTCATCTATATTGGATTTTGTTGCTATTTAAAAACAACCTTTTCTCCCCTGCAAGCTGAGTCTTATCACATGGGTCTAACATTATGTCAGTTCACAATAATAAGGCATAACTGAACTCACATGACTTGAGTTTGGTCAAAGATCCCATTGTCTCACTAATGGTAATGAATCAGAGGAGACAATTCACATGCGCAGTCATCAAGAGCAGTCCGCATGGCTCCCACTGAAGATGCTTTGTCCAGGTTTTCAAAAGACTTGGGGTTAGAGTTTGACACTTATTTACTAGAACTCTGTCAATCTTAAAGGAGTTCAGTTTAGTCCTGATGTAGAATGGTTTTGGTCCTCTTCTGCTCCTGGTTCAGTTCTGGGTTCAGCCCTGGCTTAGTTTTACTTTTTATGTGGACTGCATTTGAATGTGAACATAGTATAATGTATTTAAATCAAGGATAATGTTGCAGTCGTTGTTTTGGACATACAATATTGAGTAGGTTATAATCTTTCCAACTTTAGACTAGTTTATTTGTTTATTTATCAGGGAAATTGCAAATAAAAAAAAAAAAAAACATTGACTTGCACAAAGACGTTATATGTTTGAGCCAGGTTATAGTAAAATTTATCATTTCCACCTTCACTCCCTGTGCAGGCTGATGTCATAAATGCTGTTCATGCCAATCAAAAACAATGGATTGAATACAATTATTTTTTCAGTCAGTCAATAAGTAAAAATATTGCATAGTCCCATTCAGTCTCAGTCACCACATCTACACATTTTTTACATATTTACAATTCATGCTACTGCATTCGACAAGGCAGTTTAATGTGACTTTAAAGGTGCACTATGTAACTTTTCTGATGCAGGATTCGCCACCTGCTTGTATCCATGGAGATGCTATTGCTTTGCGTGCATGTTCCACAGTATGCACTTACACTATTACACTGATCAGAAGTTTTAGAACACTTAACTTTTTCCAGTTTTTTATTGTTTACTGTTGACCAAAACATATTCTAAACTTTTGGTTCATGAAAGTGTCTACCTTTGGCAGATATAACAGCTGAATACACTCGTGGTTCGTTTTTAATAGAAATTAAATTTTCTTCAGAAAGTTCTTCCCAAGTCTGTTGCAGAAGTTCCCATAAATGTGTGGCACTTGTAGGTTGCTTCACTCTTCTGTTCAGTTCATCCCAAAAGAGCTCGATGGGGTTTAAGTCTGTAGACTGTGCTGGACACTCCATGTTTTCAAACTTTACCATCTTGTTCTTTTTTCCTGAGGTAGTTTTGGCAGAGCTTGGATTAGTGTTTTGTATCTTTTATCTTTTTTTGTTTTTTATCTCTGGCTGTTCAGTTCTTACCTTTGTACCATTTCAAGCTCTTCATTGGACTTGCATGACTTGAATTGCAGTAAATAACTGGAAAAATTAGGATGTTCTAAAACTTTTGACCAGTAGTGTATCTATTGCCATGGGTGAAGCCCCAGAGAAACTCACAGGTCAAATCTGTGACAGTAAGAAATCACATTTTTCAAGCCATTGTTGAGCAATAAAAACACCTGTAATCAAATAAATGCATGATGCAAGAGAGATTTAATGTCCACTACAGAACATTTTCAGCAAAGCAATAGTATTTCCATGGAGACGAGTGGCAAAGTTACATAGTACACTTTTAACTAAACCTAATACAAGATATTACAAAAGATCACAGTAAATACTTCCACTTATGTATTGTGCAACACCTTCTCTTTGGGCCAAGTTTGTTTACATTAGTAGTGTTTGATCATTTGAGTTTGTTTGGGAAGCTTCTGATAAAGCTTCATTTCCACTCTGGTGAAAGTGTGTGGAGGACAGATAAAGTATGACGTCATACAGACTGGGCCTATACACCAGAGCTGCTTCTGTTAGATAAATAAATCGCACTCCAAATCCAACTCCATGATACTAATATTTACTGAATGTTACACAAATTAGCTTTGCTCATGAACACTGAATGATATTGGAAAACTGTTATCACTTACCATGTTACAATGAAAAACAAGCCTTGCATAAATGGTAGTATAGTCTTCAAGACACTCAAAGCACTTTAAAAGGAACCACTCACTTATTCACACACACACAGACACACTTTGGGGGTGAAGTGTCACAACAACAGCCATAACAACAACATTCATTTGTGGGAGCTGGAATCGCCGCAAAACTGTGGGCCAGTGGATATGACCCCTCAAAGAGTGATGTTTATGTCGAAAGCAGGATTTGAACTGCCAACTTTCGGATCAGTAGCCAGGCTTGCGCCACCTAGTGTCTACGCTCAATTTCATTTCTCTCCAGCAACTAGGTCAGGAATCAGAATACAATAGATGGTTCGCAAAAACCCTGGAAGTGCAAGTTCAGGCACCAGCCAATCAGTGAAGAACCATATATTCAATGTTGTCAACATTTCCCGAGATCGAGGATTTAAAGCCAGAACAAAGAGAATGTTTGGTGAATTTTATCAAGGGAAAAGATGTTATTGTCCTTCTTCCTACGGGATTTGGGAAGAGTTTAATATACCAGTTAGACCAGTTAGCAGCGCATTACATACATCATGACCAAACAGCAGCGACTGGTTAAATGATATAAAGTACCCGCCTACTGTCAAGTGAACAAATTCTAACACTGCGAGGTCAGACAGTTTCTACGAAGTGAAACCAGCTGATGAATCTGGCTATCGGATCAGAGGACAAACTGAAAACTTGAAATGTCCATAAGACCACACCAGCAGAATCTTCTGAAATACAAGTTATATCAAGGTCTACAAAAAGATTTAAATTTTATCTGTCAGGTGCATTTGACAAGGCAAGTCCAGAATGATATGTTTCTGTGCTTTTTTCATGCAGAGGGATACGTATTGAAGAAGTGTGATTCTGGATCTCAGGAGAATAACATTATTGCGTAAGGTTATGCAGGTTAGATAAACGGTTATGGACAAAAGCATTATGAATTCTGTTTTTACGCACGATATATACAGTGCGTATAACCTGCGTTGAATGAGATCCAGCACGGCAACCATTAAAATGTACTGTATTGTAAATCCCTTCACTCCATCTCCCACCACATAACTCACTGTCTACCACTCGGCACCATATCAAAGCCTCTGCGTGAGACGTACGGGGTAATAAAACACCACTATAACGAAACCAACGCAATTTTGCACGTTACATAAACCTCAATGTCCCGTGGAGGAACAGGGCAAGAAGAATACAACACGGGGAAGAATAGGGTAGGTAAATGTGAATGCGTGGTCTGAACATAAGGCACATAAGGCACATATTTGGCAGCGTGTTCGGGCTCGTGCGGTCCGTGTGCAAGTGGTCCCATGATAACACTCCATCACCGCATGTGAAAATGTTTTATTGTCGTCAAACTAGCGTCATTTTAAAATTAAACATGGAAAAACAACTACTGAAAACTTAGAAGAAAAAAAAAAAGAAGAAGAAGAAGAATATATTTTTGTGGGTTTATGCAATAATAACAATAATAATGTATACATTTCTTATCTATAAATTACCAATACAAATTTCTGAAAAGTTTTATTATAGTTTTGCATGTGTTAGATTCGTGTCAATTCATGCATAACTATAGGGCGAATTCAGGTAAAGTGTGACAAACTTTTGTACTAGCACCAGGAAACATCCAAACACCAGTCAGCTTGGATTCTGTGGGTGTCAGATAAAACTTGGGGTCTTACGCCGGGCTAAAGACAAGGATGCTCCGCTCTCGAATCTGATTGGCCGTCTGCGCAGTCTCCGGAGCTGCTCGTATAAAACTGCTTTGAGTCCCTCGCCTTGTCTTCAGAGCAGCAGGAACACCGCGCGCGCAGCAGGACGCGCGGGATGCGTCGTATACTTTTTACGATCTCATTTTAGCGACCAAACGTCTTCAGGAACCATTAACAACGCGCTGGTGGATTAGCTGTTTGGAAAAGTCCTCAGTAAACTTGTGGATTTGGTGAGTAAATACGTTACGTTTGACATGCGTAAAGTCTGATTTGTCTATAAAATTACGGAAGATATATTGATGCGTATGGCTCGTGGTATAACTAGACTCCTACACATTTCAGTCTGCTCTTTGTGGCGTTATCCCAGTAATTAATTTGTATTCTTAGTTTTTATACAGTCCATTTTATCCCGTTGACGTCGTTTAGTCCTCCAAATCATGCTTTAGTTAGTTAGTTAGTATGCTCTATTGACTTATTTGCAGTTTTATTGAATTGATTTTCTGCTCCTGTTTTTATTTAAAGCCAGTAAAAGTTGAAACAGTCCTACTTTGTGCACTCTCTTCTGAATTTTCGACTTTACACGGCCCGTAGCGACATAAATCAGCTGCTAAATGTGTGAATATTATGCGTAACGGACCAAAGCCTGTTGCACATCCAGACGCGCTCAAACTGACAGCGTTAGAAATAGAAAAAAGACATTGTTGTACCCTTCTGTATGCAAAAAGCGTATAAAATGCACATCTGCTGAGAGTGTTAGTGGTGAATATAGTCATCAGTTTTATTTCTCAGCAGTTTGGACACAAAAGAACTGATCAAGATGCTTGTAGATGTATAGGCTGTTGAAAACGTATAAGATAAACATGCGGTATGCTCATTGTCAACAATATTATTTCCCTCTTAATATTTAGCTTCAAAAGATTTAATGGAGGGATTCTAACAATATTGAAACGTTTTACTTCTGTTTGTGCTGCAATTGTTTATTTAAAAAGTTAGTGGTCAGTTATAGCCTACAGTTTGAAAATTGAAGGGGAATTACGCGAAGATTGAGTTTTGTGGGTTTAAAGCTTTTCTCATCTTACATTGTCTTAGATAAATAAATATAGCTTACAGTGCACTTTAAGCTTTGTCTAAATTAAAAGTGCACGATGTAACTTTTTGGTGAAGGGTCTGCTTCATGCTTTTCTCATGAAGATATTTTTCACCACAGTATCATATTACGTTTATACGCTCCACCAGTTCATTTTCATGTGTTTTTATTGCTACAACTTAGTCTTGTCGTGTTACCATTGTATCCATGAATTAGTTAGTGCACTTGTAATTTAGAGACAGCTTTATTGATTTGGACACTGAACAGTCTCTTGATGTAATTCTTTTTTTTTTTTTTTTGTTTTTTTTTTTTTTTGTACTGTTTTTATCTTGATTTATTGGTCCTGTTTTTACATCCGTACTTCTGGTTATGTATTACTTCTCCTTACATTTGTTTTAGTCATTAGTTTCCTGTTTCATTCATTATGTAAAGGTGCGGTAGCTTTTCTGTTCCACCACATCCTTATTGCTTTGCCTGGAAAGTTCTACCAAATGGCATTAAACTGATCTTGCATCTACTGCAGGTGTTTTATTGCTTAATGTGTAACTTGGCCTGATGGCGTCATCTGTGTGTCTCCATTACGATCATTTTAATGCCATACTGTGGAACATTATAAACAGTATAGTAAAATGTCCATGGTGACAAGCTGGTGGTGGACCATTCCTAGAAAAGATGCACATTTACTTCTGAAGTTGTTTGGATATAAATTAATGCATTATTGTCTATGGTCTTATCTCGAGTTTGTTTTTAATTTGTTTTGTATCTTTTTATTGTTAAAGGTGCATTGTGTAACTTTTCTGATGGAGGGTCCGTTATTGCTTCGTCTGAAATTTTTCACAGTATGGTATTAAACCTTTATTATCTACATGGAGACCAAACCAGACCAAGTTACAGGTCATATCTGTGAAGAGGCAACCCCACTCACACTCAGAATTGTATGGTTTCTAGGTATTTTTGAGCTATAAAACAGACTCTAATTGTATAAATCTAAAGTAGAGCTGTTTAATTTCATTCTGTGGAACATTCCAGAAAGAGCAATGACATAGAAACAAGCAGGTCACAAACCCCAAACCAGAAATTTAGAAAGTGCACCTTTAATGCACTCAGTCTCCAACTCATTACTGAATCGCGTTCCATCTCCAGATCTGCTCATTTTCTTGCCAAATTTCCATGTTTGAAGTGAATCCAGCCGCACATAAAGGTCAGAGTTGATTTCTAAGGTAACCTGTAATAGATTAAACGTATTATCGCCAATCAAAAACCAAGAAGACCAATTATTTTATACAGTCCACTCTTAGATGAGACTCTAATGAACCGCCATTTCACATAAGGACTGAAGGATTGGTCCAAAACAGAAACTCGGTTGATAAAATGCAGGAGATCTCAATGGAAAACAGCCAGACTTCCTCTTTTTCCAGTCATTTCATTTTGTTCATGTGACTGTGTGTGCAAAGAGAAAGGCGTCTAGAGGCTTGAGGCAATGATACTGATGCACTGGAGCTGAGTAAATGTGTTGTTCAATTACCAGGAGAGGAGATTATGCAAACTTCTCAAAGAAAGACCCTGTTATAATTAGAAAATAAGATGCTAGAAGAGCTCATGCAGATCACAGAAGCAGGAAGTTTTTCACATCCGATCTGAAAAAAGTGAAGTGAAAGTGAAAAAAGCTAGAGGTCCAAGGAACTCTGTTTTTGAATTGTCTTTATATACACCCACGCATTTCAAAGTAAAATAAATTGCTATGTACCTACCACTGTATTATTATTTCTCTCATTGCTACCCAGATGTTAAAAGATGTACTACTCTATATTGTCTTCCTTTGGGTTAATCATTATTTTGAATACCTTATGTATGGTTTAATAAAATTTTAGAAGTGTTTAGCTCTAATTAAGGTTTATCTGATGGTATTCAAAATTATCTTGGTCCTTGATGTTTTGAGGTTTGAGAACTACTGGTGTAATGTTTAAAAAACTAAACACATTTACACAGAAAATAGTTTGCAAATAAGCAATTCATTTCAGCTGATTTGAATATCGCTTATTGATACTTTGCAGTGACATCATGCTGGGGGTGTTCTACATGTACATATATCTATGGCACAATGTTCAGTAGTTAGGGTAATAACACAATGCACACATTAGCAAACACTGCCAAATACAAAATTAATTGAAACAACATATTTTCAGGAGCCTGTGATCAATACAAGCTTGTATATAACAGCACAAATCAGCTCACTTGTTGTAGTTTCAGGTACATCAGCTTTTACTATAGTCAGATTGTGTTAAAATAAAGCTCAGATTAAAGTCAAACAGCTTCAGTTAGAGCAGTGCCTACAGTTAGCATCACACCCCCAGTGAATGTTGATGACATCAGCTGCAAAGTGTTGATTGCAGCATTTGAATATATCACATTATATTGTATGGCACAGTACGTAAGAAGATGTTTTGTGGAGTCTTTCAGTTTACTCAAATTCCCCTCATCAATCAACTTGCACAATACAGATTACATTATGAACTCAACATTTAGAAAAGGGTTACCCACACAGCCCACTGTTCATATGGTTTCCGCCCCCTGAGCTGTAATGTGCTACAGGCCAATAATATAAAAAACAGATATTAAGTATTGTCAGAGTGAAAATGTATTTCTGTGACTGTGACTGTCTTCCTGCAGTTTCAGCCCATGTTCTGAATGAGTTGGTTTGTGCTGAACTGCCTCTGGGCATGCTGGGAAATGCTGATACACATGACTGAGACAGAGAGAAAGAAAAAGACCGAGCGAGAAAGAGAAAGGAGAAAGGAGAAAGAGATAGACAGCTAGCAGCTGTTCTGGACTCAGCCTTGTTTAACCTCTGTCTGCAACACACTGCAGTTTAGAATGAAAGCTTGAATGAAAGTAGATGCATGTGAAGAGGACTATGCAGTCTGATGAACATATAAGGTCTGGAGACGCTGGACTGGTGGTTTTAGCCAAGGAATCGTGATGTTACATGTCAAATCTAATTGACTGTCATGAATTGTACCTGAACCTTAACTATAGGAGGGTGTCTCCTTGAAGATATTAATGTATTGCCTATAATGTTCCACAGTATGGTAAAACACTTAATCTCCCTGGAGACAAGCAAGCAGTGCCACCAGGACAAATCTACAGGTCAGATCTATGGAGAGACCCCACTTTTAATTGTTATATTAACAATTAAAACACCTGTCATTGAATAAACGCAAGACATGTAGAGTTCATGATTAATGCTGCTATTAAAAAAGCAATAACATCTCCATGGAAACAAGCAGGTGGTGGACAAGCACCAGTAAAGTTACATAGTGCACCTTTAAGTCAGCAGTTAGATCTAGGTCTTTATTTTTAAAGTTTGTCTCAACATCTCTTACTGATATAAATTCTAGATATTTCTTACAGTGAAAGAAAAAAACAAGGATAATGCACAATTGTAAAACCAGTTCATATTTTTTCTTTGTTGAACAAAAAACATCCGTTTAAACCCCATATTGTTTACCTTAATACACTTTTGTCAGTCACTAATCCATGTAAACTGCTTGTTGGCCATTATACTAATCTTCAAGGTAACATCACCATAACCTGGGGCGGTTCACTCAGTTGGTGGGCTTCAGCTCCTACCCTGCAGAGTCTGTTGTTTATTTATAACTCCAAAGAGGGTCAAAATGATTTAGAGAAAATTAAAAAGGGTGCTTTTTCTCGTCTGTAGTCTGCAAACTTCAACAAAAAGAGTGATCACTTTCATCCAGGAGTGACAAAGAGAAATTATCAGGTGTAATGTTAAAGTGCTGGAAAAACAAATCATTGCTTATATCTAAACAGGAAAAGATCTTGATAATGCAATGAAAGCAGAGAGTATGTGTCATCTTTTGGGACATTAAGATTGCTGAGAAGAGAGGATGGAGAGGCTGAAGGGGGTGTTACTTCTGCTGCTGCAGTAGAGATAATGATTTTATATGAATAACTTAAGAGGAGATGGGAGTCTCTTGTTATAGCTGTGCCATGTGACAAAACCAAACCACAAAACCAAATAATAAGCAATCCAATTTCAAGCTTCCAATAATTTCCCTTGTGGATTAGTGATGTTTTATCTCTTAAAGGCCCATATTACACTATATTCTGATCTATGTAAGTATGTTGTTTCCTTATCACAAACAGACCTGGAGTTGTGTTTTGTTTCATTCACACGTGTTTAACCCTTACATATTATTTGGGTCAAATTTGACCCATTTTGACATTCATCAGTAGTAAAAATACCCTATGTGTCTTTATTTTATCCTGAAATGTGATGACTTTTCCTAAATTTTGCCAAAATACACAACAATGAAAATATTTTAAAATGTTACCGTACCTTTTGAAATGGATTTTCGATCTATGAGTGTGGGTCAGATGAAGGAAAATTAAAGTTTTAGTTAGTTTAGTTTTAGATTTTTTGAATCTTGAAACTGTGAAACTGTACAGACCATGGTTGTGTGTATTTTTTATGGGACACTGGTGACAGAGTTCGAAAGTTCACTGTTTTGACACTGCTCCAGGTTCCCAGAATTAGACACCTGTTGGTTAAAAAAACAAAAAAAACAAAAAACAAAAACGCTTTCTTCTCTTTACAGTTTGTAAAGGTTAACATTCAAGCCCTGTATATTTAGGTTCTTCCATCAAATGGCAAAACACCTTGTGATGTCATGTGGTAATACAGGAAGTGCCCCATTATGTTTTTAAACTCCACACACCTTCACTAGAATAATTTAGCCCTGGAATTGCCAATCTCTACTGAACTAAATCTAATAAGCTGTTCATTTGAAAACTGCTGCTGCATGACATCACAAAATGTAACAGAGCATTTTAAGATTTGGTGATGTAGACAGACATAGGCAATAATAAAGTGTCACTCAAACACAATGAAATTAATGAAACAAACCACAACTCCAGATATGTTTTTGATGAGGTAACATTCTAATATGGCTTCAAGCTCACAAGAGTCAAGTTTGCGTAATAGGACCTTTAACTGACTTTAAATGATTTGCTGGTTGTTTCCTTTACCGAAGTTTTTCACAGATAAATTATGATCAAAACAGTGTAAAAACTCTGATATGCGTGTATTTTGCCATCCCATACTTACAGTGTTGTCTTTGTAAATATTGAAACACTTGCTCCTCTCCATTTGCTGGGCTTTCTGCTTCACTTGTGCATTACAGATCCACATGGAAGCAGTAATTGTTTTCGCAGCAGCCTCTGGTATTTTAATGACCCTGACTGTACATGTGTGGCCATTGCAGCCATCACAAAGGCTCCGCTCAGTGTGAAAATCTGGACCGCTTTTTCCATTCGGTATTTTGGATTTCAAACAGAGCTACAAACCGACTGTGTCCATGCTTAATCACAAACCAGAGTTGCGCTGTTTAAACTGTGCATGCAGCTTCTAATCAGATAGAAGCTTAAATTGTGGCTTAAAGGGCTCATATTATGCTCTTTTCTGGTCTGTTATAATGTTTATTCCTTAGGCTGAGTTCTTCTCTCAAGCAGAAAACACTCTGTTCCAGCATGTGATGTCATGTGGTAATACAAGAAGTGCTCCACTGTGTTTTGAAACTCCATACACCTTCACTAGAATCATTTGGATGATTTCAGCCCTGGAATTTTCTTTCTTTAAACGAAAGCCGTCACCTTGAAAACTACTGCTTCATGACATCACAAGGTGGAATAGAGCATGTTGAGCTTTGGAAATATATTAATAGGATTACTCAAACATGTGTGAATGAAACAAAACACAACTCCGGGTATGTTTTTTATGAGATAAAAACAGTATCAATAATGAAATGAGAATGCAAATGTGTCCGTGAAACGAGCAGTTCTGTATTTGCTTATCTTGTTAATAATAAATGAACACGCTTTTTATCTTGGCAAAAGTGTGTAAAGTCTGTCTATATTCCTACACCAGTCGCAGTTGAAAGGAATAGCTTTGGTTTTCTGGGGCACCATGCATTTCAGAGATTATGAGATAGTTCTGGACAACCCTGGACTCCTGGTATTCTTGGTATTAAAATAATTTATTATGTATAGTTAATAAGAATAAAGTTGCAAATGTAGGGGGGCATAAGATAAGTCAAACTCATGGTTGCAATGCCAGGGTTGAAACAATAAATTCAGCTCAAAGCATATGTGCAACTGTAAACTAGTAATGTAATTTAATAACTGTGCTGAGAAAATTGTAAAAGAAAAAAAAAATCACAGTAGATGGATTTTTGAGATGCGAGTCTTTTTATATCAAATGTGGCAGAAGACCTTCTAGAGGAAATAATCTGAGGAAATGAACCAAAAAACATTTCCAAAAGGCCTTTCCTGTTGTGTTCACCTGGCTCCCCCTGGACAGCGCTGTGAAGCTGCAGGACACACAGGACGGACACTTTTGGCTCTTCCTTTTCTCAAACTGTCCTGACACAGATCTGCTGAGCCTTCCTGACCAGTCCTCCTGATAAACTGCACTGAAACAAGCAAAACTAGTATTAAAACTGGATACTCATCTCAATAAAGTTATTAGTGAAAAAGAATCGAAAAAACAGGCCACATGGAGAATCCGTGTATATTTGTTCATTCATTTTTCTAAATAAAACCAAAAGTAAGAAAATGAAAAAACAACTACTTTCTTCATCATTTGTCTCCATAACCAAAATGAAAAAACAGATAATGATTTGTAGTTTTTGTTTTTTTTTTTTTTTTTTCAGTTTTCGATTTTGTGTTTAAATGAAGAATGGAAAAAATGGATGGACTGTCGTTTCCTGTTTCCGGAATGATGCCGGACTGAACCAGGACCGAACCAGGACTGAACCAGGACTAAAACAGGACAAAAACAGGACTGAACGCAGGACTAAAACAGGACTACACCAGGACTAAACCAGAACTGAACACAGAACTAAAACAGGACTTTACCAGGACTAAACCAGGAACTGAACCAGGAATGAACCAGGACTGAACCAGAACTGAACGAGGACTGAACCAGGTCTAAACCAGAACTGAACCAGTACTAAACCGGGTATCAGTCTCAGTCCTGGTCTTGGTCTTGGTCCTGGTCTCAGTCCTGATCACCCTACAGTCTACGCACCTCCGGGTCCTGGTTTAGTCCTGGTTCAGTCCGGAATTGCAGTTTAAGTCACGGAAATGGAAAACAGCCGTTATCCCTTTTTTTCTATTATTCATTTAAACACAAAATCGAAAACTGAAAAAACAAATTGTTATCCGTTTTTTCATTTTGGTTTTGGAGACAAATAATGAAGAAAATTGTTGTTTTTTTCATTTTCATATTTTTGGTTTTATTTTGAAAAACAAATGAACAAATGATACACAGATTATGGAGCTTTTTCCTGAAATTAAGTTCAAATTTTACTATCATGACAACCTCAAATCACAGAAATAAACTTATTACACTGCATCATCCTAATCATTATTTATTTTTTTCTTTCAGGTCTTTGCCCTCAGACCTACAGCTCAACTCTGCTGTATGAAGGAGTCTGCATGTAACTTCTTGCTCCACTCTTTCCCTGTGTGTTTGATTGTCTGCTTGAACCAAGATGAGGCTGGCCACTCTGCTCTGCCTCGTCAGTGTTTTAACCTTCGGGGCTGAATGCACTCGAATTATCCGGGACTCCCAAACCTCCCAAACCCCTGTATCAGACCCCCCCTCCAACATCACAGCTGTGGAACCACCTGCTCCCCCCAGCCGTCCCAAAGGAGCCTTCCCCCCCATGTGCATAAAACCAACGGAGATCAAGAATGCCTTTAAATATGTCAATACAATCGTCTCCTGTCTCATTTTTGTGGTGGGAATCATTGGGAATTCGACACTGCTCCGGATCATCTACAAAAACAAATGCATGAGGAATGGGCCCAATGTGCTGATCGGGAGTCTGGCTTTGGGAGACCTGCTCTACATCATCATAGCCATCCCCATCAATGTGTTCAAGGTAAGCACGGGATTGCATTCGTATCATAGACTGTATATATATGAATGGACATACTGTAGCTAACCTGTTAGACACCACGTTCCAAATAGGAAGTGAGCATGGTTGCACTTCTGGCTGCATCGATTCTGGTTGTAATTGACTTTATATTGAAAAATTGTCACCCCTTTCTCTGTAACTGCTGCAGTGAGCCTCGTCATTTTGGCTGTAAAATTCTGAAATAGCCCACTCCACGTAATCCTAGAAGTGTTTTAATTTTGATATGTATGTATAAGTGATTAACAATTTAATGTATCTTTTGAGTGTGAAAAAGTCCTCAAATTGTTTAGTTTTGTCTTTAGTGTAGTATAGTTTATTTTGAACAATGTACAGAGACATAAAAGAGCTCATGGCAGGGTGATAGTAGCTCAGTTGGTAGAGCATTTATCCACTGGCCTGAAGGTTGGCAGTTTGAATCCCACTCTCAACATAAACATCATTAGTTAAGTGGTCAGATTCACTGACCCGCAGGTTGGCGGTGCAATTTCAGCTCCCATAGATGAATGCTGCCGTTGTGTCCTTGAGCAAGACACTTAACCCACCTCACCTCCAGTGTCTGCGAACACTGGTGTATGAATGTGTGTGTGACTGGGTGAGTGGTTCCTTGTTGTAAAGTGCTTTGAGTGCCTTGGAGGTGGAAAAGTGCTGTAGAAAATTGTGACCATAAAAACAGAGATGTTCCACACTATATAAAAGTGAAACAGCTAGTTTCCAGATGTTGCATAAGAGGAAGCTGAAACCAAAGAGTAAGTGGCTTCTATGCAAAGTTAACCTTTTGAGTTTTCTGCCATGTTATAAAGTCTCAGTCCCGGTCTGGTCCCGGTCTCAGTCCCGTCTCAATCCTGGTCTCAGTCCCGGTCTGGTCCCGGTCTCAGTCCTGATCACCTGACAGTCTAAGCAGGTGCACCTCTGGGCCTGTCTTGTTTTAGTGCTGGTTTAGTCCTGGGTCAGTCTCGGTTCAGTCCTGGTTCGGTACCTGTTCAGTCCTGGTTCAATCCCAGTTCAGTCCGGCATCGCAGTTTTAAGTCAGGGAAATGGCCGTTATCCATTTTTTCCATTATTCATGGAGCTTTTTCCTTGGTATTGAAATTAACTTAATTTTTTTACTATCATGACAACCTCATATCACAGAACAAAGAGTAAGAGGCTTTTATGCAAAATTAACCTTTGAGTTTTCTGCCATGAAGTTCCTTCCTTGTCAAAATCATACATTTGAGTTTAGCTTTATTAACATTGGACTTTTATCTGGGTTTTTGCTGTCTCTGAGCTCATAAAATGTTTTGAATACATTTTATGAGGGGCGGAGAAGAACTGAAAATGCATTTAATTTTGATTTTGAAGTCTGCGGATAAGTCCACAGTCCTCTGTCTGTAAAAGAATATGGTTTGAAGCAGAGTTCAGACTTTGAAATGAAGAAATTTGTCTATAAAATCATGATCAATCAGTATGTGGAAAAACATTGTGACAGGGCTTTTGCCATATTACGAAGTCATAGAGAATCTTCTGTGTAAAACGAGCAAGTAACGTTTATTTGTAGAGCACAGTTTGAACACAACGTAATTATTTTGCAAAACATGATTAAAGGGCCCATATTACACTATTTTCTGATTTATGTTATACTGTTGTTTCCTCATCAAAAACACACCCGGAGTTGTGTTTTGTTTCATTCACACATGTTTAACACACAAACTCTGCTTATTTAGGCTTTTAGGAGTTCTTCTCTCAAACAGAAAACACTCTGTTCCACCTTGTGATGCAAATACAGGAAGAGCTCCACTGTGTTTTTAAACTTCATACACCTTCGCGAGAATGATTTAGGTCATTTCAGACCTGGAATTGCCAGTCTCTGTTGAACAAAAGATAAAAGATAACTGTTAACTTGAAGGAGATGTAGACAGACTGACGATGAAAGGATTATTCAAACGTGTGAATGAATCAAAACACTACTGCGGGCATGTTTTTGAGCCGTTAACAACATTCTTAACACGGCTTAAAGCTCACAAGAGTCACTTTTATGTAATATAGGACCTAAAAGGAGTGGAAAATAAATGGCACTAAAATTTTATCACTTCACCTCAAAGTGTAAATAACTCAAATGGAAACAACTCCATGTTATCCCTCTGTACTGGCTTCATGAAACTCATTTGCAGACTCCACATATTACTATAAACCCTCTTAATTTACAAGTCACATTTTACACCTAATCAAACCATCCAATAAAGTTGTGTTTTTCCATTTAGCACTGCTCTTGAAGTTGCCAGTGTCTTTTATTGTAAGTTGAAAGCCGTAATTCTCCCCTTGTACAACAGAGCCATGTGGGACCCTCTTTGAGCCCGTTGCATGGTGGGCTGCGTTTGATTAAACTTTTGTTACTGCGGTCGCGTGCGGACATTTTAAGTGATGTTTTTGGTTTCCTGTTTCCGAGCGACTTTTCCGACTAAACTCAACGCCAAGGACAGACTCAATAAACAAGAGACTTACTGGGATGAGTGATGCAAAACTCTGTACTCGAACTTTTACACAGGAAATCTTTGGCTTTTAAAATTTAAGTGGTCTAAATCTCGACAAAACTGCAAAACTAAAGCCTAAATGTGGTCTATGGATCTATAAAGTTTAAACCAGGTCCAAACTAAACCAAACTAAACTAAACTTAAAGGCCCTGTACTGTGCGATTTTCTGACCTATGTTATAATCTTGTTTCCTCATCACAAACATACCTGAAATTGTGTTTTGTTTAATTCACACGTTTAACACACAAACCTTGCATATTTAGGTGAAGTTCTGATTTTGAATTTCACTATAATAATAACTTAACTATAATTTGGATTATTTCAGTCCTGGAATGGCTACTCTTTATGTTCTTAATTTGACAACTCCCACTACATGACATCACAAGCTGGAATAGAGCATTTTGAGCTTTGGAGATGAGAGAGTAATAATGCAGGGTTACTCAAACATGTGCAGTAGTAGTAGTTTTATTTGGTCATTTTGCAGCACTACTAAAATAAGCAAAACAATACATAGACTACAACCAAAACCAAAAAAAATGACAGAATTCCAAGAAAGAAATGCATCGTATGAACAGCAAGTTTGCATTTACAATTTCACTTACAAGAAACAAAATAAAACTAAACTTAATGCAGAATTCATTCATTTCAGAGCTCAAAACATAAGACTTTATACTCTATACTCATATACTAACCCCTCGAACAGAAATACAATCACTTTTTATTTTTTTAGTTCTTATTTCCATTTTTTTTTAAGATGCTAGTTTTGTTTTCGTTTATGATCGTACAAACTAATAATAATGATAAAGCACCACAAAATTTATCATTTAAGATGGTATCAAAATAAAAGGTAATGTTAAAGAAAAGAAAAGCATGTGTTTAGTTAATAGTTGTGGTTTACTTGTGAACAATATATTGAGTCTTCTAGGTATTTCTGTAAGATTTGATTTTTATATTATTTTTTGAAGTGCACCAAATTAGTACAAGCTTTGTGTGAATGAAAAGAATAAGATATAATATAAGACTTTTAACTTGGACTAAAATAAAACCTATATCCTACACTAGCCTAACACTACTCTATTTCAAGAATACACTAACAAAAAATAGGAATAAATAGGACTAAAACAGCTCTTAAAGTTCATCTTTAAGAACTTTAAGAGCGTACATCTTCCACCATCTTGTCTCCACAGATGTTATTGCTTTGTCTGAAATGTTCCACAGTATGGCATTCAGCTTCTCCATGGAAACAAGCGGGTGATGCCAACAATGGATGTATTTTCACTTGTATTTTTTTTATATATTCTTTGAAATGATCCAGGAGTGTTTCAGTGACCACCAATGAAACATTGTATTCTTTCCAATAAAAACACTTGTATGATGACAAAATGCAAGATAGACAGTGTTGGGAAGGTCACTTTTAATATGTATTCCCCTACAGATTACAGATTACATACCCCAGAATGTAGTTTGTAACGGAATCCATTAAGTTACTTAAAATGAGTAACGTAATCTGAATACTTTGGATTACTTGATTGCTGTAGAGAAGCAAAGACTAGGATATCGTAGCATAAGATGTTTTGTTTGCTAAAAGAAAATAAAAAACCCAGACTTTACTGAACTGTATTAAAAATATTATTAATAGAAGAGGAGGAGACATGTTCACGCAGCATGGTTTAGTCTGGTTAAATCCTATTAGATTCTGTTTTAGACCTGTTTTAGACCTGTTTTAGTCCTGGTTTAGTCCTGGTTTAGTCCTGGTTTGGGAGGGGGGGGGGGGGGGGGGGGGGGATATAGCCCAAAATGTGAAAACAGGAAAATGCCGCCGTGTAATCCATTTATTTCAACAAAGTAACTCTAATCCAATTACCACTCACTGAAACAGTAACTGTAACGGAATACAGTAACTCATAATTTGTACTCTGATTACGTAACTCTGGTACATGTAATCTGTTACTCCTCAACACTGAAGATAGATAAGTTTAATGCCGCACCATGGAACATTTCAGTACCAAAAGCTTGAAAATGCATAAGTCTTTCTATAAAGCAAATAAATTGTGTAATACATGAAGACTATGTATGAAACAATAGCCAAATACTGTGTGCTGTTGCAAGAAAAACAACATCATATAAAAGCAATAAACATTTCCCTATTTCCAAATCAGAATCACTTTGAACCAAGAATGCCTCTCCTTCTGTATCCAGCCCTTTGCTTTCTAGTGGTCGTTGTATTTCTGTACCTCTCAGACTCATCAATGTTCAGACAGTCTCGAGTATTTGAACGATCGTGTGGATGGGAAACTGCTTGAGGTGGAGTGGCCCTGATTTGTTCCAGATTCAAAACCAGTGTGATTGTTTGGCAGTGAAGGAGCTGACAGATACAAAGGACCTCATTTAAATCTCATGTAGTTTATGAATGACGACGTGGGGAGGGAGAGTTTTGGTTTTTGTGAATGGCACGAATAGAAGATGTAATGAAATGATGATTTTGTGAATAATAAGAAGAGCTGTAAAATGGTCAGCAGTCTAGTTTTGTATTATTATCTATAGTACTGTTGTTTTCATTTATACTTAACATTAAGTTCTGTCAGATTTAAAGCGGACCACCAATAACCGATCAAAGCTAGGCAAACTCTTTCTCATATTATCAGTGCTCATTCATAATAAACTGCTCTAGAAAAAGTTACTGAAGAGCCCCCTTAAACTTCTTGAAATGTCTTCTTTCCGTGCAAAATGTAGAAATGCATACCTTATTTCTCATATTGTGTTTCTCTTGCAGCTGCTGGCAGAAGATTGGCCGTTTGGGGTGTACATCTGTAAACTCATGCCCTTTGTCCAGAAGGCCTCAGTGGGCATCACCGTCCTGAGTCTGTGTGCTCTCAGCATCGACCGGTGAGTGGGACAGACTAAGTGATAAGTGCATAAACAGAGTCATAAGGTGCTGTTGTCATGGGAACTGGCTGGGAGCTATGTTGGCATGGATTGTTGGATTTTGGGCAGATTTTTATGGGAGTCACAAGATTAATAAAAGTACATGAAAATAGCTTAATTGTGTTTCTTTTGGATCATGGTCCCTCTGATCCCTCATTCAGATTTAGCATTTTGCTTGCAATTTAAATAATCTTAAAAGTCTTGAAATTAAATAATAATCAGATTTTGGTGTGCAGTCAAATAAAGCCAGTGTGGCATTAAATCTAAATGTGGCATTGCCAAAAGAATACCTTGAAAATATGCATTTTTATAAGCAGGCCCGTCTCTCCACAGATCTGGTCTATAACTTGGCCTGGTGGTGCCCTCTTTTTATCTTCATGGAGACAAAGCAATAGCATCTCCAATAAGGTTCATTTGATCTTGCAATAATTTATGTTATTAGTTTCTTTTTTCAGACCAAGAGTTTGTTTTCATATCTGACAGTTTGGACTGCTCACTAGTGGTCTTCCTCAGAGTGCTCACGTGGTGTTGCTGTGACGTGTCCAGTCAGCTGATTTATACAGATTTTGATGCTGTCTTCCTACTGGAGGAGGCAGGATGACAGCGTCATCTGCAGCTGACCAGACATGTCACAGCAACGTCACGTGAGCACTCTGAGGAAGACCACAGTGAGCAGTCGAAACTGTCAAATATGAAAACAAATTCTTGGTCTGAAAAAAGAATCTAATAACATAATATCATCTCCATAGAGACAAGCAGATGGCACACCTTCCACCAGAAAAGATCCATAATGAATCTTTAAATATTCTGTTATATGTCTGGAGTTAGTATCTTTTTACCTTTATACTCCAGACTTGTGAATCTGGGGTGTAAAGGAAACTCATTTTAATTTTGATATTATTAGAGATATTAATCTACTTCTTTGCAGTGCATTACCTAGATTTGTTTTGCCATGAAAAAGACAAAACAAATGTGATCCCTCCTCTCTCTTCACAGGTACCATGCAGTGACGTCATGGAGCCGTGTTAAGGGCATGGGGATTCCTCTGTGGAAGGCGGTGGAGGTGACGTTGATCTGGCTCCTGGCTGTGCTCCTGGCTGTTCCTGAAGCTTTAGCCTTTGACATGATGGAGTTCCCCTACAGAGGAACCAAGCTCAGGGTTTGTCTGCTGCACCCGGAGCAGACCACCAGCTTCATGAAGGTACCTGGAAATGAATGGAAAGCTCTCTGTACCACTGTATAAAGAAGTGGGCTGAGGGAGTGTGCTGTCACCCTTAGCAGCTCCAGTCAAAAGAAGCTCAGGAGATGATTTTGGAGCAGAGATCCATATTAGGGATAAGAATTTATTAACAGACAAAATAGTGAAATAAAAACACCAAGATCATAGAGAGCGGGTTAATTAACATTTTAAGACCAAGATGACAAGGGTCAGCAGCAGTTACAGAGAGAGGGGGCAATTTTTTATTTATTTATTTTTTTATGTAAAGTTAATTGGAGCTGGAAGCGCTCTTCCCACAAGGCCACTACCGAGTTAGCTATGTCCATTTATATAAACAGTCTATGGTCCACTACATTAAAAAATGTCCTATGGTAGACAAAACTAAATTTAAAAAGGTTAGTGCTTTAAGGGGGAAAAGTTAAAGTAAATATACAAATTTTGCTAAATAAAGCTATATCACATAGAATCCCATATCAGCCCCAAAGCAAACAATATGGCCCAGCCCTATCCTTTAGATTACGTATATTATGTATATTGCATGTTTATAATGTCATTAACCTGTAACCTGTAAAGAAAATGTTTTAAATGTTGTGTCTCTAATAAACTGAAATTATCCTGATTTCAAGAATTGATGAAAATAGTAGTAGTAATAGTAATAGTTCTGATTTGGTAATTTTAGTTTTAAATAAACAGGTCATGCTTTTGTTCTCAGATTTTAATTTCAAGCAGTAAGTAAGTTTACAAAAGTTTAACTTTTCATAATGTCAGTACATCTGATTTGTTTTTTCTAAACACCCCATTACCATATTCTTGAAACTAATTCACTTGGTAATGAATAATATCTTGGCCCAAATTTCAGTTTTTATCACGTTAAGATCTGTACCGCACATGTCAAGAGAAAAAAATATATATCTGAGGAAACAATCGGGTAATGAACTACATCAAATCTGTTAAGGATATTGTGTGGATTGAAATTGAGATTAAAATGTTCTTGGAAATACATCTGGTGACAAAATGACCATATCAAATGCACAGTACTTATCTTTGTTTTGTTTTGTTTTTTGTTTTTTTTGTTTTTTGTTTTAAATTCAGCCAAAAATTTGTTGCTGATTTGAAAACACTCATTTCAGAGCATGCCTCATCTGGGACGCACACTAACTGAGAAACATGTGTCATATTACTGTGTATTATATTATGTAACTATTATTATATTTTATTACAAGGGCAAAATCACTCAGTGGCTATGGAGAAATTTAAAGTTCTTAAATGACGAAAAATCTTGTGAGCTTGAAGCCATGTTAAAATGTTATTACCTCAGCAAAAACACATGTTGTGCTTGGTTTCATTCATACTTGTATGAATAACCATTTATTATTAGTCTGCCTGCTTCTCCAAAGCTTAAAACGCTCTGTTCCTCCTTGTGATGTCATGTAGTCGTATAGTTTTCAAGTTAGCAGCTTTTTACCTTTTGTTTAGTTCGGCAATTCCAAATGATTCTAGTGAAGGCGTATGGAGTTTTAAAAAACAGCGGGACACCTCCTGCAGCACTTCCACATGACATCACAAGGTGGAACAGAGTGTTTTCTATTTGAAAGAAGAACTCAGCTTCAGTATGCAGGATTTGTGTGTTAAAAATGTGCAAGTGAAACAAAACATAACTCCAGATATGTTTATGACAAGACATTATAACATAGATCAGAATGGTGTAATATGGGCCCTTTAAACAGAAATCCAATAACCTAAAGGCAGATTTTTTTGTAGTACTGCACTACACTGTATCATTCAAAATGTCACTTCCGATTTCCATTACACAAACATGGACCATAAACTATCTAAATATTTTAGTTTGAGTTTTCAAATAATAATTATAACAATACCCAGTAAAGACAGGAGGTCTTTCACAGTCAAAACGTGGAGTCATGGGGCATTTTGGCTTGTCAGCTCTTATTATTGCTGACATGAAAACTAATTGAAAACAGGCTGATTTCTGTTACTCTTTTACTTTATGTAACTCTGTCACAATGTGCAAATATTACACAATTTTAGGAGAGAAGAGGTGGAAAGTTCAGGTAAAGAAGTTATAAACACTACTGAGAGAGCAGGTGGCGGATCCTCCACCAGAAAAGTTACATATTACAGGTTTAAATAAGCAACTAAACATGCATGTGATTAATAAAGTACAGTATAATGTGTAATGTACATAAATGTGTCTGTTGTCTTCACAGTTTTACCGTAACGCGAAGGACTGGTGGCTGTTTGGGTTCTACTTCTGCTTCCCTTTGGCCTGTACTTTCATCTTCTACACTCTGATGACCTGTGAGATGCTCAGTCGTAAAAAGGGGATGCGCATCGCCCTTAACGACCACATGAAGCAGGTATTGACCCCAAACCATCACTTTACTTTTAGGGAGGTCACTCTTTAACTGTTAGTGTTAAGGTTCCGGCTCCTACAGATGAATGCTGTCGTTGTGCCCTTGGGCAAGACACTTAGCCCACCTCGCCCCCAGTGTCTATGTGCACTGGTGTATGAGTGTGTGTGTGAATGGGTGTGTGGTTCCTTGATGTAAAGTGCTTTGAGTGCCTTGAAGGTGGAAAAGCGCTCTATAAAAATGTGAACATGTGGACAATACAATTTTACACATATTATTTATTGAAGACATTTTGAGACCATGAAACTCTTGATTCACTTTAATTAATTATTCAACAAATGACGTTCCAAAATCAAATATTCTGAATTGTAAAGTAAAATTATAGGTACACTGTGTAGCCTGATTTTTAAAAAATGGTACAACAGTCTCAACTGAACCTGAGTTGCCAGAGCCTTAACCTGCTTATAGAGAAACACATACAAGTTTCTCATTCTCATTCTCAGTATATGTACAGGCCGTGCCTCATGTGAAAACTCAGAACCTCCAGAATTCCCTCCCTGAGCTGCAGAGGCTGCACTAGCACTGACTCATGACGGGCTGCTGGTGCTGGAGTTTAGGTAGTGACCATTCAGATCAGAGAGAGGCATTTTAAGTTTAAACCAACTGGAACAACATTGAAACTGGCAACCTAAATGAAAGAATCATGTGACTCTCATTCTGCTTTCTGATTGGATAATCATCTTGAGAAACAGAACACCAAAAGATAGCATTTTGGACTTGAACATTACAATTGTTACCGGTAAAAGCTGTATTTGATTTGAATGTGTCTACCCTGCATTTGGGGACTCGGGTCATATTTGTGAATTTTCTAGTTTATGTTTAGTTATTAAATATTTAAATCTAAATCTTATACATAGTCTCTTTAATGTGACATTAACATCAGTATAAAAAGGAACAGTTGAAGGATTTTTTGAGAGTTTAGATAATTTTTTGCTCAAACATATTTATGCTTAAAACTCTCACTATTCTCAAGACCTGCACAATCTCAATTTTCACAATTTATCTGAGTAATCTTGACATCCCTGCTTTCTACCACGTCCCAAAGTTTATTCATATCATGTTTTTCGTGACAGAGACGGGAAGTGGCCAAGACCGTGTTCTGCCTGGTGCTGATCTTTGCTCTGTGCTGGCTTCCCCTTCACCTCAGTCGCATTTTAAAGAAAACTATCTACGACCAAAATGACCCAAACCGCTGTGAACTGCTCAGGTATACAGGTCCCATGATAACGCGCAATGAAAATACCGTGAAATCCTATTGTTTTTAGCTTCCTGTTGCTATACTGTAACCACCATCATGTGTCTTGTTCGGCAGTTTCCTGTTGGTGATGGATTACATTGGGATCAACATGGCGTCTCTAAACTCCTGCATTAACCCCATCGCCCTGTACTTTGTCAGTCAGAAGTTTAAAAACTGCTTCCAGGTAACAGAGGTCATGCCATTTTCATTGGAAGAGCTGACATGTACGATAAGCTAATATTCAAGAGATAAGAAATACAAAAACAGTGATAGTAAAAGGTTAAGTTCTACCCAGATTTACAGTAACTTTAGTCAGCATGCATTTTATTCAGGAAATCTCCATTAAATTACAATGAGACAGTGTAATCCTTCATTTATCCAGGATTGACTCAATTTATGAGAAGGACCACCGTTGAAACCTTTTCTACATTTATACAATTACAAACACAAAAGATCAACTTGACTTTAAAGGGCCTATATTATGCTATTTTCTGATCTAACACACAAACCCTTTGTCTCAAACTGAAAACACTCTGTTCCATCTTGTGATGTCATTTCATAATACAGGAAGTGCTCCATTGTGCTTTCACTAGAATCATTTGGATAACGTAAACCTTGGAATTTCCAATCTCTACTGAACTAAAGGTAAAAGGTAACTAAGTGTAAAACTACTGCTTCATGACACCACAAGGTGGAAAAGAGCATTTTTAGCTTTGGAGATGTAGGCCAACTAATAATAAAGCATTACTAAAACATGTGCGATGAAAGAAAACACAAATCCGGGTATGTTTTCGAGGTGGTAACAACATTATAACATGATTTAAAGCTCACAAGAGTCAATTTCACATAATATAGGACTTTTAAATGTAAACTAAAATACAATTTCCAACTTTTCACCGCCAAAGAAAAGTTTTGTTAGATTCTAAGTACCATCAGATCTAAACGTATAAGGTCTAGAACTGGACTATTCCAAGTCTAATCTACCGCTAAACCAGGTCTAAACGTGGACTATATAATTTCCACTGTAGTTCTAAAAAAGAAATTATTCAAAAGAGAACGAAAAGTGGATAAAATAGACTCTAAATTAGGCAAGCCCACAAACTGAATTACAAACCAGAGACAGAGACTGTATTTGACTCTATGTCTCTAATATGTCTGATTTATCTCTGTGTTCCAGTCATGCCTGTGCTGCTGGTGCTACAGGACCTCTCCTTTGGACAAAAGAGGTTCTGGGCGCAGTTGGAAAGGCTCATGTCACGGAAACGGACTCGATCGCTCCAGCTCTCGCTCCAGCTCCCAAAAATACTCCTCCTCTTCGTAAAAAACAGGACTGACTTCACCTATGAGAGAAACCACAGACTCTGGGCAGCCCCAAACTACCAACCCAACGATATAGGTGAAACTGGGGTCTACTATATTCAAAAAAACTGCATTTGAAACACTGAGAAGTAGAGCAAAGGACTTAAAATTTCCCAGTGGACTTGCAAAAAAGACATTGTAAACCACACAAGAATTATATATATGATCAACTTCTTAATATACAACCCAAAACTGACTCAACATTCTTCTATCTATCAGAACCAGCATTTTAACTTCTTCACCATGTACTGCTACAGTTTCTTAGCTGTGGGACTGGACCATGCAAGAATGGCAATCATACTACAATTTCTTGAATGGACCATTTTTTATACTGGCCACTGCAAACCAGAAATGACGCACAAGAACTGGGTTTTGGAGATGTTCAGACACAGTTTTCAAGACATCCAATTTGTCTAACCTGCTTTATTTTTTCACAGTTTCTCTATCTATATAAAGCTACACTGCATAATATTACTGATGGACAGCACAACACCTGCTTGTCTCCATTAAGATGTTATGTCTGGCTTAGAATGCTCCAGAGTATGGTATTAAGCACATTTATCTCACAATTACCAATTTTTATATTGCTCAGAAATGCAGGGGAGATAGTAAAGTGTTTGTCCACTGATGCTAAGGTTGGTGCTTCAAATCCAGCTCCCACAGATGAATACTGTTGTTGTGTCTTTGGGCAAGACATTTGACCCGCCTTGCCCCCAGTGTCTGTGTACTACACTGGTGTATGAGTGTGCGTGTGTGAATGGGTGAGTGGTTTCTTGACGTAAAGCAATTTGAGTGCCTGTCCACGTGACAACATTTTTTGGTCGAAACGGTGAAGTTTGTATTCGTTTTGGCCTTTCATTCACATGGAGCCGATGTTTCGGGTGGACGAAAACAGTGGAGTGGAGAAATCTGAGAACGCCAGCGTTGCTTTGTTGTGTGGACAAGCAAACCACAGCTTTTGGAAAACGTTGACATCCTGTCATCTGCAGAGTCCTCCTGCTGCAGCCCTCGAACTAGCCTCCATGGACGTCAAGACCATTGCCAAAATGGGACAGGTGTAGCCTACGGAGCCGCTCCCGTCACCCAGCAACCAAGACATGCTGCTAGAGCTAATGCACGCACCTTGCAGATAACACACATGGACCAATAACAAAGATTACTCACGGGTGATCAAACTGTTGGATTTTAAGACCAAGTTATTCTAATAATTCTCATCCAAATTTTATGCCTAAAAATAAAAACTTATGTTTAACTTTTGCAAAACAAAATGGCTATATTTCTAGGATACGTCTAAAATAGGCAAAATTACCTTAAAGTTAAAATACAGGTGTGGCAGATGAATTACATAATTTTCACTCAGTGCTCCATTGTCGTCTGGATGTGAATATTTATTGATCTGACACGTGTGTGGACGCACATTTTTTTCAACTCGCAAAAATTAAAAAATCCAGGAGTGTTGTTGTGTGGACATAGCCTTAAAGATGGAAAATTGCTATCTGACTATTTACCATACCATGTAACTCGGACTAATGGTGTTACTCACATGCCTGTCTTTATGTTTAATGCCATACTGTGGAACATGCAAACATGCAAAACATTAACGTCACCATGGAGTACTCTGGGGGGTGATATATTTTGTGTTTATATAGAAACTACCCATCAAAGTTTATTTGTGAATAGTATTATTACAAGTGGCAGATCTAATTATAATGTAAACTAGAGCTCCACACGCGTACATACAACACAATACAACATATTATCACTGATTAGCTTAGATACCTCATGAGACAGACATTTCCCAACAAAGCTAAGAAGAATAATAATGTTCATTACAAAGCTAAGTTGTGGTTTTGGTAACTTTGCCTGATAAGATAAAAGCACTTACAAGCTCAATATTAGAAAGACATAGAAAACAAGTAAGTAATGGTTTAATTAATTGGCTCTGGTGTATTTTGGAGATTTGAGGTTGGCTCTAAACTCTTTCCCATGTCTTATTGTGCGATTAACAGTAAATTGACCAATATTAAAACCATTTGTTACTTTTTCTTGGTCTAAACCCAAAAGCCCATTTTAATCAATTTAATACATTTTGAGCATGAATGTCACAAGATTTATACCAACACCAGAATAAAACCACATGATTTTGCTTGCTATTTTTTGTTATTTGAGAAATTATAATATATGTAAGTATTGCATTACTGTTAATTAATATTGCTAACAAAAACAATAGGCCCATTGTGAGTTTAGCAGCTTGAAAAACTAAAGTTAAATCTGATCCAATATTTACATGATTAAGTAATTCTCATGGCCTTTCCCTTTAGACACATTTTAGCAAAGTTGCCTTATAGTTGATTGCCAACAATTACCCATGTATCAAGCATTCATGTTGCAATGTGGGCTATTCAACCATTTAAATGAGGAAACCCAAGAGCACTATGTAACTTTTTGATGACGGGTCATGCCACCTGCTTGTCTCCATGGAGATATTACTTCTTTGCCAGGAATGTTTCATAGTATGTCTCAGTGAAGACAAGCCAATGTTGACCAGTTTATAGGTCAGATCAGTGGAGAAGTGAACTCCCTCACACTTCGGCTACGTTCAGACTGCAGGGCTTAATGCTCAATTCCGATTTTTTAGTGAAATCCGATGTTTTTGCGTTCACATTTCCAATTAAATGCGACTTGTATGTGATCTCCAGTGTGAACATTAAACAGCCCAAAAGTGTCTGCTCTGACGAACCGTTCACCTGGAGATTTTTCCTTAAGTCGACATTTGTCAAGCGAAGATCAGACGATAGTGTGCTTCGCTTCAGTGACTCGGAGTTCATTAAAAGCCTACTTCATCTCAGAATACAGGTCACATTAGTCGGGCCAAAAAATCGGATTTGGGTCACTTCAGGCTACAGTTTGAACGTAGCGTGTGAATGCATTTTTTTAAGTAATAATTGAGTGCATCTTTAAATGGCAATGCTTTGGCTACTTTCTCTCATAGATATTTACAGATGGTCCCCAAAGGTGCTTTAAAAGTCTATTATTTTTAAAACACTAAACAATATTTAAAGGTCCTATGTTACACAAAATTGACTCTTGTGAGCTTTAAGCCATGTTATAATGCTGTTACATCCTCAAAAACATATCTGGAGCTGTGTTTTGTTTCATTCACACACGCTGAAGTAATCCTGCAGAGCATTTTCTGTTTGAGAACTCAGTCGGATTTGTGGGTAAATGAAATAAAACACAACTCCAGGTATGTTTGTGATGAGGAAACAACATTATAACATTGATCAGAAAATAGCGTAATATGGGCCCTTTTCACTGCCTGCACAATAAAATGTATAGACTCAAACTGACCTGTTTTATAATACACAGAATCACATGTACAACCACAAGTAGCACCTGATATTTTGCATTTTCAGCTCTTGACTTGACTTCTTACATTAAATCTCCTGTTGACGTCACCAGCGTATTGAAAACAGGCTGAACCATTGGTCTTTAGTCACAAGAGAAGAGAGCCTGGACTGTTTTATCTCTGCATCTCACCCAAGTCATGAGGAGAGCAGCGGTTCACATGTTTAACACAGGGCCCCATTACAATGTATTAACAGAACAGGTCAAATTGTGTCAATGGCCACACTGAGTTTATCTTTAAGTACTTTGTGTCTGTAAAAGTAGCTACATACGTTAATTTGAAAGTAATTGACCAGAAAATTCTTTAGGGATTGTATGTTATGTAGGACAGGGATAGAGATTGTCTATTCAGTGTTATAACTATCACTATATAAGATTAATTGAAGCACACTATAGCCTATATTTTTGTTGTATCAAATACAGATACATATTTTGTACATGTGGTTATTTCATATATTTTGGAGTTTATTTATTTCCCACAGAGATAGTTGTCCACACAACTTTGGAGTAGCAAACAGGGGCAGTATCACATTCACCGTGAGGATTATCTTGTTTTTAAAATGAAAAATAAAAGTTACATATTCATACTTTTAAATTTGGTTACAAATGGTGAAAGAAGGTTATTGCAAAGCTAATTTTCCTGACAAATGGAAAAGCATTCTACTGAGATATGTGGTGGTCTATATCTTCACATCAAACTAAATGAGATTGAGAACAACTCTATCAAATATTAGGTTTAAAGGTGCATTGTGTAAGTTTTCTGGTAGGGAACATGCAAAATTGTTTCCGGAGATATTTTTGCTTTACCTGAAAGTTTTCACAGTACGGCATTAAACTCATCTCTGTTGCATTTATTAAATTACTGGTGTTTTACTGCTCAAAAATACTACGAAAAAACCACAAATTTCTACAGATCTGACCTGTAACTTAGCCTGAAGGCATTGGGGGCTTGTCTCCATGGAAATAGATAACCTTAATGCCATATTGTGGGATATTCTAGACCAGGGGTGGGCAAACTACGGCCCGTCGAACTTGAAGAACAATAATAATAATAATAATAATAATAATAATAATAATAATACATTTCAGTGTTTTAAAAGTCATTTCAACACATAGTAAATATTATGGGACTTGAAAGACAATATTTTGTTGTCATGCTTTGTAATGATTTTCAATTATGGGATATTTCAATAACATGGGATGTGTTTTCTACATATCCTATGTTATTTTTGTCTATTATGAGGTCGATTACCAAAAAAAAAACAAAAAAACATCTCCTCCTGTTCCGACCTTTCCGTCAAATTTTTGAACCCTTTGTGGCCCAAGAGTCAAAAAGTTTGCCCACCCCTATTCGAGACCAAGCAATAACATTTCCATGAAGACAAGCAGGTAGTGCACCCTCCACTAGAAAATTACTCAGTGCACCTTTCAATTAAATTAAAAGTTGTCAAATACTAAAAGTGATGTTAAAAAAAAATAATAATAATCTTCAGTATATTGTAATATAGTCTGCACACATAACCTGAAAAAAAAAGAAAATTAAACCTAGGCCAGACCAGGACTAGAACAAGACTAAACCAAGACTTTATCAAGCCTAAACTTAACTTAAACCAGAACCAAATCAACAAAGTATGAAAAAGCACCCCTATTGTCTAGTTATTCCTGTCTGCTTCTCCAAACACACTCACATCATCTACTGTAGCCAATAGGTTGTGTATTCATTATACTTTCTTCTGCAGAATAGTGCCTTTAAAAGTTTTGCATAATTTAACTGGTGAACAAGCACAAGACAAAGAGATTATATATTTTGCTCATAATAGTTACATTTATTTTATATATCTGAATATATTATGTAGGTCTGTGTTCGACCAAAGTTGTTCTGAGAAGCTTTATTGGATTATGTTGTATTGGGTGAAATGAGTGCCTTCTGTTGGGGTCATCTGATTGGGCTGTGTGCATTTTATTATGTCTCTATCTATGTCAGCCATCTTGGTTTTTCACAGAGCCACATCTTAACTGGCTTTATACTCGGAAATAGGAGGGTTTATGGACAGACCACCAAGGCGTACTTTTGAGGAGTTAAGAGGTCTAGAAGATTAAAAGACTATGTTAAATTAGCTTTGTTTTTATTACATTATATATACATGTACTTTTGTGGCAGTAATAAATCATATTTTATAGCATTCATGTTGTCTGTTTGATGTGTTTAAATAACATACTAGTGTCTGTTTACAAAACAGTTGGGCATGTATGTAAAATTATAGTGCATGGAAGAAGGTAAGTTCACACACAATGAAAAAAGAATCAAAACTTAGGCCTATATACAAACTAATAAAGAGCCACCCAATCTTTTTTTCCATTTAAAGGTGCAATGTGTAACTTTTCAGGTGGAGGGTCCGTCAAATGCTTTTTTCCATGGAGACATTATAGCTTTGTCTGGAATGTTTCACAGTATAGGATTAAACCTATTTATCATCATGGAGACCAAACCAGGCCAAGTTACAGGTCAGATCTGTGGGGAGGCAACCACGCTCACAGCAAGAATGCCTGTTTTTCTAGATCAGTATTTTTGAGCTATAAAACCAACTATAATTTAATAAATGTAAAGCAGAGCTGTTTAATGTCATACTCTGGAACATTCTAGGCAGACCAGTGAGATATCCATGGAAACAAGCAGGTGACGGACCCACAAAGAAAAAGTTACATAGTGCACCTTTAAGGAAAACAAAACAGTTTTTATTCATAGAGCTTAGAAGTGTGACATCATGCATTATCAGAATTTTCTTTTACCCTAATGTTAAACTAATGCAGATTTTAAAGCTACTATCTGCAAATGTATTTGTTTGTTTGTTTGTTTGTTTTACCAGTAAATGGCAGATGTGAAACCTGATACCTCCTCCCCCACTTGGCTTTTTTTCAGACTCACCTGTGCTCTCTGGTCTTCTTCTGTCAGACCAAAACTGCAAACTATCAGACAGCAGTAACATAGAAAGCATCTAGTGGTGATGTGTGAGAATACAACAGGGCAATCTAATTACAGATGGTAGGTTTAAGGATTATAATGGAGGACATACTGTATATTGTGCATGGTTTGGTTGATGGGGAATAGGAGTACCTGACAGAAACCATCCAAACAGACCAACTCTCCACTATGCTCACTTAAAAATCTGTCTTTTTCACTTATCTATAAATTGTAAATACATTCCATTG